GACATGAAAAATATGAAACAATTCAATTGAGAAAACTAACGGCCTAGTTTATAACGAAACAATTAACGAAAAAAAAATATGACAGACATGAACCAACGACCACCACTGAACTACAGGCTCCTGACTTGGGATAGACACATAAAAATGTGGCGGGGTTTAACATGTTTGTGAGCGCTCAACCCTCCCCCTAACCTTGGACAGTGGTGTAACAGCAAAACATAAGAACAAACTATAAACATCGGTTGAAAAGGCGATAACAAAACTAATAGTATGATTTTAACTTACTGATAACAAAATCAATATTTATACCAATAAAAACAATATTTAAAGTTATAATTACGGTGTTGGATTGGTAACCTTTATGAATAAGTTTATTTAAAGAACTGATTGATAAGTTTACCCGGATCGTATATATATTTCCGGGCTCGACAAACAACATCACCGTAAAATTTAGGATGTGCTATTCCGTCTGATATAAGTGTTTTTTCAGATACAGCAACTCTTGAAAACCAAATCTTTGTATCTATGGATGAATTTAGTTAAGGTTTTAAATAATTTGTGGTAACGAAATCCCTGACTTGATAATTTACCAGTAATACATATATTACGCTCATTGAAATCCAAAACGTTGCTACAGACACGGGCATAAAGAACGAGTTGGGATACGTAAACACCGTAAGATGGTGCCAGAGGAACATCACCGTCCAAAAAAAGGAAAATTAACAATAGGGTGAGAAAATTCATCCCTTTTGTCGTCAATTTTTGTGTAGTTTCTGGTGTAAAACTGAAATATCTAAATCTAGATAAGGACACTTATCGCTGTTAATATCTGATTCATTTAAAGTAAGTTCCTGTGGGTAAATTTCGGCAGTATATTTAGAGAATTCTTGATTATTTAACGAAAAAAAATCATCAAGATAACGGTAAGTGTTGTTGAATTTATCAATTGAATGGAATTTAGACGGGTCTTTACTGAGTTTGGCCATAAACTGTGATTCTTAAAGTACAGGAACAAGTCTGCTATTAAAGAGGCACAATTGGTGCCCATAGGAATACCTGCAATCTGTCGATAAACTTTATTGCCGAAACGTACATAAATGTTGTCAAGGAGAAAATTTATGGCTGTAATCATCTCTTTACACCTCCAGTAAGGATATCTAGCATATTTACCTTTCTCGTTTGAAATAAAGGCTTTATATGAGTTTGCAATTAGACTGGTCAATTATCAGTATGTCAATGGGAACTAATTGTGCAGTACTACTGGAAGAAATGTTTTGTACTCATGTGAATCAGAATTAATACAGAACAAAAAAAAATAGAAAACGTAATCACTATCTTGTGAAGTTCTTTAATTTCACGTTCAGATATTTTGATGATATTTGGTTACTCAGTAACCCACATTTCAATTATTGTTTACATCTCATATATCCCAGTCTTGTCATGAAAATATTTATGGTTAAGGATTGGCGATATAAATATTTTTTATAGATTGCATTGAAAAGATCTTGCAATGGCAAACAAGAATATATATGGTTTTAGTGTTGACGTATTAAATATCAATATTTAAACTTTGACGGTCAATGACTAAGGTTATACGCCATCTTTTGTGTTCAGCGACACATCGTCATGAGGTGCTCCAGCTCTGTGCAAAATATCAGCATCAATTATGTCCCTTAAATATTATTATTTTTTCATGTGATAAAAGGTGGTTTGCGACACTCTGTCTGATATTAATACATTTCCATGTTAAATATCATCAGTCGATGCCATAAGATACGAACAAGATTGTGTGAAAACAAAAATCAGAAGAACCAAAAAGATGTTAAAGAAATACTACTAAAACATAACGTCTGCTTCGGTCGAATAAGATACATAGCTTTCCTAAAGACAGAGTACCAATCAAAGAGTACTCACAGTTACTGAAAGCTAGTTCAAAGATGTATTTCATATATATAAACCGTTTTCCAGGTTATAGTAAAAATTCAAAGATCTACGGAACACAGGCATAACTCATTATAAAGCAGGTGGAAAAAAATTCCAGTAATGTGATTCTGATTTAGTTTTAAAAAATTCGTAAGGGTTCCGCGGAACCTAGTGTCTCGCCTACTTCTGCTGTTTATCACAGGCTCAACAAAAATGAGGAAAAAAATTAATAAAAATATTCCTCTCTATACTATCTTTTGATTGTAAGTAGCTTCTGTCCAAGTTTGGTAAAAATCCAGGATAGTTTATGAATCTAATAAATGTTTTAAATAAAAACTTAAACTGTTATGTAATGTTAACTGGAAGAAAAACTAAGTCCATTTATAAGTAAAATACGGAAAAAATGGAAAAATATTTTAACAAAATTTCCTTTTAGATACTAGCTTTTAATCATAAACAAGCTTCTGTCCAAGTTTGGTACAAATCCAGGATAGTTTAAGAAAGTTGTTAAAATTTTAAAAACTTTAACCACAGAGTGAATGTAATGTTAACTGGCAGAAAAACTAAGTCCATTTATAAGTAAAATACGGAAAAAATGGGAATTTTTTTTTTACAAAATTTACTTCTGGATACTATCTTATGATCACAAACAAGCTTCTTTCCAAGTTTGGTACAAATCCAGGATAGTTTAAGAAAGTTATTAAAATTTCAAAAACTTTTACCACAGAGTGAATGTAATGTTTCCTGGCAGAAAAACTAAGTCCATTTATAAGTAAAATACGGAAAAAGTGGAATTTTTTTTTTACAAAATTTACTTTTGAATATTATCTTATGATCACAAACAAGCTTCTGTCCAAGTTTGGTACAAATCCAGGATAGTTTAAGAAAGTTATTAAAATTTCAAAAACTTTAACCACAGGGTAAATATTTGTGGACGCCGCCGACGACGACGACGACGCCGACGGAATGTAGGATCGCTATGTCTCGCTTTTTCGACAAAAGTCGAAGGCTCGACAAAAATCAAAGCATCGTCAATGTTTTTATTATTTTCATTTCATTTTTCTTTTTATAGTGATTAAGATTATAACACAATGTTGATTGCTGTACCCTTAATTTTTGACATTTTTACCTATGATGTTTTGCTCACAAATTGCTGTCTATGTAATGGAATTCTATGCGACTGTCATACAAGTGAGAGTTTTAGATAGCTATAAAACCAGGTTTCATCCACCATTTTGTACAGAAGGAAATGCCTGTACAAAGTCGGGAATATGGCAGCTGTTTTCCATTTGGTATTTTTGTTTTCTTTTTTTCCATAATCTAACTGTCAAATTTCTATTCTATGCCCGAAGATGGGGAATTTCGCAATATTTATTCAAATTATGTTCATATTTCAATTTTAGCCACTGACAGATTTTTAACATCTTCATATTTTAGAAACATTTGCAATTTAATGATTTTGACAAGAATGGAAACAGAAACGAGTAGTAAATTTTTCATATTCCATTAATAATAATTGGCTTAATAATTTCCATAAACAGGCATTGAAAATACATTTTCTCAACAACAAAAATTAAAAAAACATAAATAACTAATTTTAAGAAAAAATACATTTCCTGTATTCAAATATTATGTACAAATACCTAATGCTGAGATATTTCCAATTATACTGTTAAATAGATATATATACATTGGGGAATAAACAAATAAATTTTATTGCAGGAAATGCTCAGGTAACAGTTTTGCAATTATTGTTTCGACCAAATCACAATTAATACTTACGCTTTTGAGTGTAATTGTTTGAAAATCATGACAGTTAATAAGAATACTAGTATTACATCAGTACTCCTACTTGCCTAAGGAAAGAACTGGAATAATAGCATTTCAAAAAAGTGTTGGAATCAACTCTGATATCAATACACATCTTGTACCAAATTTTATGCAATGACTTACACGAACACAAGATATTGATAAAATAATTTCATAATTCTTATCAACTGATTAAATTTGATATATCACTTTTTCACATTTAATTAATAAATGTCTATTTAATATAAATTTTGATTTACAGAGGAACTATATGGAAGTGTATATCTAAAATAAAGTAGCTGTTTGACCAATCTTTTCTTAATTTAAGGGCAAATAACAAGTCAAAAGTTGGCAGTAGATGATTAAAATGGTGTATAAAGTTTCTGCAAGTCATAAAAACACATAATTAGTTTCATGATATGGCATCAACTTAGAATTCTGCACCATCTCAAAATCCAAAGTGACTACATAGTTCCAGTGTGGCTGAATCTAAAAACGAAATATTTAATTGGAGTACAAAAATCTGGTAAAAAGAAACGCGTCAAACAGTTGAAACCAGCTGACCACATAATTAGTCACCAACTGAAACAATACTGACAATAATTTTTTATTTTGATATAATGATGATTAATAATTTGCTGCTAATGTCCAGCAGCAAATCAATATGCATATTCAGGACGAGAACATGTTAATGTAATATAAGTATTAATACTGCTTTGTACTAGACCGACACACTGAGCCGGATTTTTAACATGCTAGTTCACAAGGTAACAGTCTGCAGGAAGACATGTCACCTTACCCTGACACATTATTCTGACTCCGAGCCGACCAGTCTTTGCTCTTACTCCTTAATGCCGCGTGCTTAGCTGAGAAGCAGCAAATACCAATTTTTTAAAGTCTTTGGTTTGACCTGGCCGAGGTTCGAACCCACGACCTCCCACACTCGAGGCGAACATGCTACCACGAGACCACCGAGGCGGTATATTTTGATATATACCACCACTATAAAATTTTCTTATAATGACAGATGTGATTTGCGGGACAGAATGACACGTATGAATAATAAGATAAAAGGTCACGAGGTTCAAGAGATTCCTGTAATAGATTTGTACAAAAGGAACCCCACCAAATCACTTAAGTAAGTAACATCTCTGTAAAAATTTACTGAAGGTCTCCAGTTGGCAGGTACAGTTGCAACCCTTTTCTTCATGTCCTTGTCAAAGATTGAGATATATTGACCAAACTTAAGTTATTTAAACAATAAAACATAACAAATCCAAATTTTATTATATTCAACTTAAAACTCAATGAAAAAACTGTCCTTATGCCAACAATTGGCATTTACCTTCCTATTTTTCATCATTTCAGTACATGTATGTCGAGTAATTTATAAAATTCTACCTCATCTAAAAATTTCAGAAAATAAACAGAGACTGACTGCTTTGATCACAATTAACAGTATGGAATAGTATTGTAATTAAAAAGAAAACATAGCTCTAATTATAGCCATTTATAAATCATGGTTTTATCAATGAGACTATAAAAAGCCTTATTAACAAAAAAGGTGGACTAAAACTAAAAAAAATGCCAAAATAAAAGTATATAATAGTTAATCTAATTAACCGATAATCATTTAAAAAAATACAAAATTACACCATCGTATTTCATTAGATAAATTCTGGTTATAACCACTTATACACCAACCAGACGGACGGACAGGGTGATTCTTTTTTTTTTTTTTTTCATAAACAGGATTCATTCAACAAAATATTGTAATAAGTGGAGGCTAAAACGAGCCTGATCCTAATGCTAATCTGGAAAAATATATGCCGAAATGATATTCACCTAATATACATCAGATAAAAAGAAAGATTTTAAAAATTTAACTCCACCTCCCCCTTAACTATTATTATGTGATATCAATCTATTACAGTTTTCAAAATGAATAGCAGAAACACTTAGAAATGGGAAAAAGTCTCAAATAAAGCATGATAACTACCATAAAAATTTACTGAAAGTTTCAAATTAGTTTTCTTGAATAGGGCATGAAATAATTACAACTGGGTGTTAAGCAAGCAACAATCAAATTCAAACAATCATTATATTGGCATTTTTGTAGATCTTGTATTTCTCATATTGTTTTTGCTGTTTATAGTTTCTGTCTATCTTTTAAAGCATTCATGTGTGATAATAACTCCTATAAGTAATCCATTTATGGTGTCAGTCATATCTGCTTTTTTATAGATCTTCTATTTCTCATCAATTTTCTGTTTACAATTTTGTATCTATCTATCATAGTATACATGCTTGTTAACAGCAATAATCATGCCTGACCAGTATCTCCATAGGTGTCAGTCATATCTGAAAATTTTTGTAGATCTTCTATTGCTTGTCACATTTACTGTTGACAGTTTTTGTCTATCTATCATAGTTTTCATGCATGATAATCGGCAATAATGAGTCAACATTCGTCATGCATGGACAGTAAATCCTATAAAGCGTTCATTTATGGTCACTGCTGTCAGATATATCTGTTTGTAGATCTTCTATTGCTAATGATATTTGCTGTTTATATATAGTATAGTTTGCAAGCATAATAACAACAATAATCATGCCTGGGCACATACTTCAGTGGTGTCAGTGATATCAGCATTTTTGTAGATCTTTTATTGCTTTTCATAGTTGCTGTTTACAGTTTCTGTCTATCTGTTATAGTTTTCATGCTTGATAAAAGGCAATAATGAGTCAAAATTCATCATGCATGGGCAGTAACCTATAAAGCATTCATTTATGGAGTCAGTTTTTTATCTACAATAGTAATCCAGGTAAAAAATGCTAAAATTTACCAAAAATCAGTCATTTAATGGCCATCATTCCTGTAAAAAGTATCTCATTTTGTGAAAAAAAAAGAAAGACTGTATGCATTTTGACATTATGAGAATTGTCGTCCCCTTGTAGAGTTTTCTGTATTAATATGGTTTTCAACATATTAGTCAATCACCTGAATTCAACCCTTATAATTTATTAACCCATACATGGTGTCCATGTAGACTGATGCACCAAAATAAAACTTACAAACTTAAACAAAGTGACAGAAAAATTAATCATATGAAGTTTTATTTAAATTAGTTCAATATTTTCAAAGGGAGTTATCTTTTTAGAAGTTTAAGAATGATGGACACTAATAACGTATGCAAAGTGATAGCAAAAGCTCATACTGGACTTTGCTCTGGTGAGCTAAAAATATCAACCCATGAAAAAGGTTAATGTTTGACCACATCAATACTCCATGGTAAATGACAGTACCCTAAAGTACTGGGAACTAACAAATGTAAAAAATACTAAACACAAAAAGAATGCTTATGTTTGACTACATAAATAAATTCCTTTACAGTATTATTTAATAAAATATTGTCAAAAAAACTGAACCAAAAATAGTGTCCATATTTGACAACATCAATACTCAAAATTAATTTCCCTTGCAGTATTTCTTAAAAAAAAACTGTAAAAATAATAAACGTAAAAAGATTGTTTATGTTTGACTACACAAAACTTCAAGGATTATTGCCCCTACAGTATTATTGAATAAAATATTGCGCAAAAAGCAAAACACATAAAGAACATTCTATGTTTGACTACATAAATATTCCAGGGTAAATGCTCTTACAGTATTATTGAATAAAATATTGCACAAAAAGCAAAACACATAAAGAACATTCTATGTTTGGCTACATAAATATTCCAGGGTTAATGCTCTTACAGTATTATTGAAAAAAAATATTATACAAAAAGCAGAACATATAAAGAACATTCTATGTACGACTACACCAATACTCCTAGGTAAATACCCTTACAGTATCCTTAAAGATAATATAATAAAAAAGCTGAACACATTATTACTCCAAGGTAAACACTCTTACAATTTTCTTAAACAAAACATTTCAAAAACACATAACACATAAAAAACTTCTTATGTTTGACAACATCAATACTCTTGGGAAAACACACTTACAGAATCTTTAAACAAAATATAGTATAAAAGCTCAACATATAAAAACATTTTATGTTTGATTACATTAATACTAGATAAATAATACAGCATCCTTTAACCAATTTTTTTTTTTAAATATAAACTTAACACAATAGGAATATCTATACTCCCAGGTAAGTAACCTTTAACAAAATATTTTGAAATCAGTAAACACCCTGATAGTATCCTTTAACAAAGTATTTTGGAAACACAGAACACCCTAATAGTATTCTTAAACAAAATATGTTTAAAAAAAACTAAACACATAAAGACAACTTACATTTGACTACATCAATACTCTGGGGTTAACACACTGACAGTATACTTTAACAAAATATTGTATAAAGCAGGAAACATAAAAAAAAGATAATGTTTTGAAAATGCCAATGCTCAAATGTTAATACATGTAAATTGTTCATCTCGCAGTGGCATTTACAGGTCTGTTAAATTTGATATAATATGTACACATATACAAAATGAACAATATCATTATAAGTATGTAAAAGATTGACTTGACCACTGAAAAGTCTACTGCCAGGAAATATTGACAGCCAATAAGCAGACATCCTATGAAGAAAAAGTTCTTGATGAAATAGATAACTTCATTTACATAATCTCCAAAGTTCATCGTTGAATCACCTGGTTCAGGGGTCAATATCTGAAAAAAACAAATGCTTTAATATATAACAATGCTTTTAATATTGTTTATATCACCAGAACTCTGAACATAATCCAGTAAAAATGGTAAAATTAAAATGACGGTAAAATATTGTAAACAGCAAATGATGGCAAATAATCCTACCAAGTATAGAGGATTCTATCAAATAGTCTAAGAGGAGCTGCATTGTGAAGGTGACAATGTCATAATACTACATTAAATGGTTTATTCCTTGAATGCCAACATCCTTTGATCTACCGACAATTTACCTGTAAAATTATGTTGGCGTTCGAGGAATAGGTGCAAGTGGTTATCACAACAAAAGTGCATGCTTATCAAAACAATCATACTAATTATACAGATAGGTAAAATACAGGTAGCTAAATCTAGTTCATGTTTGTCAAGTTGTTGAAAATCATTGTTTGCTGTTACTGCTTGAAAAATATGGATTCTCTTAAAATGAAACTTTGAAAAGTGTTGCATCACAAAGTCAACATGTGCATATTGTCAGGAATTCCAGTTTGCACAAATTCTGCAATAGCCTCTTTGGATTTTGATGGTTTTTTTTCAATATTTCTATAGTTGTGTGTGCTGTAATATCTCCCCTATTACTTGATGGAATATCTTGAAACTTTGTATCTCGTGTTAGATTACTATGTTTCATTTTGTTCAGTTGTTCCGGATATTTTTCTTGGTTATAATATTATACTCTTTTTGATTGTATGTGATTCATAATATATTGTTTAGGTGTTTGTTATGTTCGCAACTCATCGGAATTCTTGTTACCCTATTTTATGGATTTTCTTGAAACTTTGTAGAGTTGTGGAAGATATTTTCATACTTTTTTCATAGCATAAAAAGAAGAAAAAAATCAATTTTGAATAATATATTTTTTATTTGTACACAGAGCGCACAGAAAACAATACATATAACATAAGCAAACATTTAGCAGATTGACAAAAAGCACTACATATGTGATCTGATAACAATTGTTGAATAGTTTATACAAGCACTTTTCACATTTAACAGTCTATTCCAAGTGTAAAAGATACGATGCTGAGTCAGCCAACTGTACAGTTGTCATTTCTCTGTTGGCGTGTCGCTGTTTCAGGTTACCGAGTTTGTTCTCAATTTCTCTGTATTTTCTTTTTCTGTTGATTCGTTTACCAACGGCTGCGTACTGCAGCATTTGACATCTGGAAGCAGCTTCCTGGCGTTGTAACAGCTCGATCAACTTGTAGATATTTGGGTGTGGAGTCTGGACGATTTTCCTGATCTTTGATTGCCACCCCTCTAAGTTGTTCTTGGTCCTACAGTGTTGTAATGGTTCCACAGATGACGGTTGCCTTCTACCCAGTACTCGGTCACGTAGTCGGTAAATCTTGCGGTGTTGATGTCGGTATCTGCATCCTCTAAGTCTTGGAGAGCTTGAAATCAGACGTCCTCCACCTCCTCAGTTGGTACCATTGGAAAAACAGCTGCTCTTCTCACCAGTCTGTAGATGTCCTCGTTGTTTCGAATATGGAACTTGCAGGCCACACTCTTTGAGTTTTCCGCCAGATACTGGTTGAAGTTGCGGTTGGTGTTGTTGACAGTAATCTTTAAGTAGTTGGAAGAAACGAATGTCGGTTGCTTGGTCTTTTCCTTTCTTTATTTCTTTAAAATTCATAATAATTTTAACCCCAAAATCTACTTTTTTTTCTTAACAAAAAGTGATAAAATGTTGCAATTTTATCAAGTTCACTAATTATTTTTACAGTTAAATACTTATAAAAACATTTAAATAGTTATAAAAACACCTATTGTTATTATAAAAACATCTATTGAAATATTTTTGTTGGCGTTCAAGGAATAGGTAACATATAAAATGTTGGCATTCGAGGAAGACACCATCACCACCCATTTAATATTCAAAAAGTCCAATAGCTTCCATAAAAGACCAAAATCAATATGGCAGTATTATATGGTGGACTACATATGTTGTCAAACAATAGTACCAAGTACGAAAGCTTTCTGTCAACTGGTCTCAGAGGAGTTGTGTTCACAAAGTCTTATTGTCATAATACTCCAAAATTGGTTATAGCCCAATAAATCCTGTAAAAATAGTGGAGTCAACATAGAGATACAATATGGTCAACTCTATATGATTTAAAACAATGCACTGAATGTGAGTTTTCTGTAAAACGGACTCAGAGGAGTCATTGTTACAATACTAAGAAAGAGCTGCGCCATGAGCACATGATATGCCCATTGCCCTTATGCTTTAAATGAATTTATATGATCAACTAGAAATACTGTGAGCAATGCTCAAATTGAAAATCATTCAATACACCACAAATAGTTAACCTACTGTTTATAGTATCTAAGCAACAGTCAAACATAGACCATATCCATATTCCTCACAACACAACACTGGGGGAGGGGGGATAAAATTAGTTAGTAATATAAAGACAATTAATTCAAAAATTTTATTACAATAATCAATTTTGATGACTTTTAGAATAAGTTTATTGAAATGACCAATAAGTTTACATGGATTAAATTTTGTTCTTCCAGTTAAGTATGTTATAAATGCATTTGCTATATTGAAATTTTGATTTGCCTCTGTACCATAGTCACGACAGTTATGTACAATAGTACACCATGTTTTCTAGTATGTCCATCTGTCGGTCACATCAATTGGATACTTAAGTACACTTACAAGTTCATTATGACTTTAACTGATCTATAGTAGTGCTCCACTAGCCCAGGTATGGAGCGCAGTTTTATATTTACTAGATCAAGGGAATATCAACACTACGCTTCCCTTACCTCAACAGTCATTTACCATAATAAAAATATCTGACTTCATGTTTAACTCCTTAAATCTATTTATTTACCATGGTGTTTTTTTGTTGTTGACATATACCCTTCTTCTGGCTTTGTTAGAAACACTGATACAATTAAAGTTTTGATTTTCAAAACTGCCGGTTCCATGAAAGGGTATATGGTTTGACATTCCTATTATCATGATTATTATCTCATTATGATGACCAAGTATATGCCTTTGCACAATTTACAATTTCAGAATTAATTGGATTGTCCATAATTCATTGTTTGCACATAAGGCCAATTAAAATTAATTGATAGATTTTCATCCCCGCCAGCCCCTCTCAAATCGTTCCGCCCTAATTTTTTTATTTTGAAAAATTTACGATTTCCGGATTTTGTTCATTTTCATTACCGGTAACTGTCGATAATTTCGTTTCATTAATAACATCCTGTTTCAAATTTTGGTTTTTGCATTTCTTTGTATGTTTGATTCGTTATACATGTATATACATGATAGAACCTTATTATTACACTTGCATATATGAAGAACACGTCACAAGAGCGTTTCATATCTAATAAAAAATAAAAAATAAAATCCTCCCACCCACCCCATTTTTTTCAAAAATTTGGATGAAAATCTACTAATTAAATTTACTTGGCCTAAAAAAGAAAAAGTATTACTTTTATATATGTAGTGTGTTGTTTAGAATTTATCATCCTATTACAACCTTTCAGAGAATATTACCCACAATGTATGGTGAATTTGAATCATGCGTTTTGTCAAGCTTGCAACATTAGTGGTGGAAGTCAGACATAGCGATCCTACAGTCTTCAGCAAGGATAGTGTCAACACTTAGTTTCAGTAAATAGTTAAAGGTTTTTTAAACATCAATAACTTTGTCAAATCATCATGGAATTTTATGAACCTTTGGCAGATGGTTTTGATGATCAAAATACCTAATATCAAGAGCAAAATTTTGAATTTATTTTCTTCAATTTTCTGTTTCAATTAGGAATTGACTTTTTTTTGCAGTTAACATCAAGAAACAGTGTGAGCTTAAAAATTCCCAGACATCAATTACTTTGCCAAACCTTCATGTAATTCTATTTAATTTTTGCAGAAGCTTTTTTATGATTCATCGATAATGTCTGATGCATAATAAGAAAAACTTTTCTTTTTTTCTGTTTTTTACTGATAAATTTACTGAGGTTTTTTGCAGTCAACATTTAGATACAGTCTGGGTTTATGTTCCTTATACATGAATAACTTTGTCAAACCTTCATGGAATTTTATGAACCTTTGACATTAGCCTCTTTAAGAGCAGGAAATAGCTTCTAAAGACACAAATCAATTTTTATTTGTATGTTTTTTCCATTTTTTCCTGATATATGGATTTAGTTTTTGGTGATCAACATTACACTTTTACTCTTACAGGTATAGAACCACTAATTTGGGCCAGGTGTAATATGGTATTTTGAACCCCATGGAAAATGGACCCGCGGTCAAAATACCACTATGTTAAATTGACCCCCCCCTCTGTATGGATAATTGACCCCCATGGTAAATTGACCCCCCTTTTTTTTCTAGATACTTATTAGAACATTATACATTATTTTAAAGCTGGTTGTAGATTGAAAATCAGACATACAAAGAAGGGAGGTCAATTTTTCATGGTAGGTAAAAAAAAATACCATGGCTTGGTATAAGTGCTCTGAAGTCTTTACCAACATACATTTTGTAATTTCATTCAAAATACTTATTGAAGCATTATAACAAGACCATGTAGCTTAAATGCTTTAATTATTTGAAATCCTAATATATAAAAGGAGTTAAATTTTCCATGGTAAAAAAGGGGGAGGGGGTCAAATTACCATGGCTCAGTAAAATAGTCAAAACATCTTTTTCAACATGTTTTATATATACCATATATTTATTAGAGTATTAAAACTTTGAAAAGCAGTTTGAAATAATTTGATTTTTCAAATTGGATGTGTATAGACAAGGGGGTTTAATTTACCATGGCAGGGGGTCAAAATACCATGGTTAAGTAAAATTGTTAAAAAATCTTTTCCAACATGTTTCATATATACCAAATACTACTTACAGCATTATAACTATGTAAAATAGTTTGAATAGATATGATTTTTTGAAATTGGAGGTGTATAGTAGGGGGTTCAATATACCATGGCAGGGGGGGTCAAAATACCATGGCTAAGTAAACTTTTCCAAACATCTTTATAAGCATGTTTACATACCAACTACTTATTGGAGTATTATTACTATGTAATCAATTTTATGTGAAATATGCAAGAAAAGTCATGTACAGTTCAGCATTATCATAAGTAGTTGGTATGTATTAAACATGCTGGAAAAGATATTTGGAAAATTTTACTTAGCCATGGTATTTTGGCACCACCCTGCCATGGCATATAGAACCCCATACTATACACCTCCAATTTTAAAAATTATAGCTATTTTAACTTCTTTACATGGTAATAATACTCCAATAAGTAGTTGGTATGTATTAAACCTGCTTGAAAAGATGTTTGGAAAATTTTTCATAGCCATGGTATTTTGACCACCCCTGCCATGGTATATTGAACCCCCTCCTATACACCTCCAATTAAAAAAAAAATATAGCTATTCTAACTCCTTTACATAGTTATAATATTCCACTAAGTAGTTGGTATGTATTACATATGCTTTTAAAGATGTTTGGAAAATTTTACTTAGCCATGGCATATTGAACCCCCTACTATACACCTCTAATTAAAAAACAAATTAAAGCTATTTTAACTCCTTTACATAGTAATAATACTCCAATAAGTAGTCTCATATTGGTCACTATTAGTATCCCTATGGAGTTTTCTTTGTATAAAGCATATGTTACTACCAGTCCAATTTGAGCTTTAATTCAGTTATATAGTGTTTTGACAAAAGCTTGATGTGTTTTTCTATGCTAGAAATAGATCATAGAAGGAAATTAAGTAAAGCAGAACTCAAAATAACAAGTTTGGTGCTGTTACAGGTATAGAACCACTAATTCGTGCCCTGTCAGAAAGAACATACAAGAAAGTAGTACATATTTTAAACAAAATAGTTCCTACGCATACCGTAATCGGCCTTGTATAGTTCGCACTGGAACATAGTCCACCCCCCCACCCCCCTTTCTCGCAACGAAATTTCAGGAAAAAAACTTTTTGTAACTGTTAGAAAATGTCAAATAATTTCGAATCGTGTGCGGTAGTTTGCGGTATTTTCATGGAAAAACCCATTTTCCATCATAAAAAAGAAGTTGAAACTGCTTGTAAATGATTCTAGAACACTTCACGGTTGTTAAAATAAGTAAAAATCACACAAAAACAGTATAGAAACTTGTGTATGTTCAAACCGGAAGTTTGAGTAGCATGTGTAAAAGAAAATAAAAACAGTGAGAGTATAGTGAAAATCCGTACTTAATAGATATCATTAGAATTCAACTTTGAAAGTTAAATAGTTCCATCCTTGTGTAAAACAATGTTTAATATATCTATCACATAAATGTTTGATGGATCTTAAGCTAATACAAAACACATGCGTTAGTATGAAACACCAAAACGGAACAAAAACCTATTACGTTTTGTACTTTAAACATTGTCAACAGGTTTACGGTCGACTTTTATACTATTTTCGTTCCATTGGATTCAATCAGATTCCAGTTTATTTTAAGCAATGCAGTGAAAAGAAACGAGAAATTTGTAATAAAGCATTTAATTTCAAAATTTGTCAGTATTAATTTGATATTGAATAAAAATAACATATTAATATGGATTAGGTATAATTATTAGTTTTGAAAATGATAAGAGCGCCCTCTACAATATCAATAACAAACATGGCGGAACGTAAACAAACCACATCGCTAAATCAAGTTTTTTCTCTTATTTCTTGCTTATCGTACTCTATAGTCCGCACTACCGGGAACCAGTGCGCTTTATTATGCAATTAAAGGTATGTTGAATTTTTCAGCACAAGTCAGGATAAGGTATAGTTTTGACATGAAATGACTGCCACTTTATTTGAACTGAAGACAAAGTAGCCATTAATGCTTGAAATTGCAGAATTTAACATAGAAAGCAATGGGGCTATGAATTAGTGGTTTTATTTCTACAGCAGCAATTTGGAGGCAAATCACAGGATTCCTAATTACAATCTTTTTTCTACTATTACTTTGTTCCTGATTTTCAAATTCTTGGAAATTTACCACCCAGACCCTCCTTTCATGTAACTTTTAATCAGTTTAATAGCATACCTGTCTCATGAGCCTCAGTACAGGTACATCAAGAGCTGGTAATAGAGTATCCTCATATGATCGATCAGGATCGACATCTGGGCAGTAATTAATTACACTTGCCAATCTATTTCTAGGCAAACCAAGGGTTTCCCTGAACAATTGCTCCCTGCTTTGTACTCTTTTATCATATTTTGCTCGAAATATATCAGCATGAGTCATGACACCATAAAATGTAATGTCTATAAAAAGAAAACATTAATTACATTTAAACAAATCATTAACATGCACTGAATATTTTGTTCTGTACTGATGATACAATTCAAGACCAAAGAAACCATATATGCATGGACTTTTTTTTTTATTCACATTAGATAGTGTGGTAGATTGCTTCAATGACTACCGCAGTTGAGACATAAAAGCTATGCTCAGAACCACTATTCTAAACCTTGGCAGTGTCATACTTTTTAAAACAAATGTGGCTCTGCAATTGTTATAAACAAAAACAAGAGGCTCACATGAGCCCTTATCGCTGTCCTAATGAAAAAGTGTCAGCCTACTAGTGAGGACCTTTAATTGCACATACTAGTTGTGTGTGTGTTGCTAATCACTTTTAATACACTTTTTTAAAAATTATTGCTCCTACATTTTTTTAGAAAACTTCAAAATACTGCTAAAAACAGTCAAATTTGACCTTTCAAGGATTACAACTCCAAATAAGGTTTTTGGATTCTCTGAAATTTTCAGATAAGAAAGATCATGTCGAGTCAAGTAAGGACAAACACAGAAGCTGTATAATATGTCTACAGTTCTGATTATTATATGAAATCAAACAAGTGACCTTTCGTTTGTTTACCTGTCTTTGATTTTTGAATAAGACTTTCTTTTCACCACAAATGGTCCTTTGATTTTCTATTTCTGTTCATTAATGCTTGTTTAAAAGAAGTCTTCAGCAATTTCATACATGTATAAGGCAAAAGATCTTTTTGAAATTAGGACTGTTCCTTTTTAACATACAAGCTTAAGGTACCCAGGCAGAAACTTTCAAAATGGGGTAACAACCTATAGAGGCAAATTGAGAATTTCGCTTACATTTTCACTATACTTGAGACTCACCCATAGAGGAAGTGCCTACCCTGGGTTCCATGTATGTTTTTATAGAACATTGACCCTTATTACAGATGGTTAAGTTTGAAGTTTAATATTTTAGCATTATATAAATTAGAAGTATAATTCAATTACCCCTATGTATAAGCTTTAGACAGATTAATGTTATCTCATATATTACCTAATTCATTGGCTACTTTCACCACGGTCTTTAACAAAGCAGAAGGCATGGCAGAATCTGGATTTGACGAACACACAATGATGATCCTATCGATTCTTCTGTGTGAAAACCTATTTCTGTACTCCTGTCTCATAGTTGTTATTCCATGATATCTTCCAAATGCAACAATGTCATTCAACACCTCTTTTTCTTTCACTTTACCACAGAAAACAAGATATAAGAGTTCTTCATTTATCACTGAATCGTCGTTTTCAAATCCAGTCATGTCTATAAATGTGGGTAACCTACACCAATCATTCTGTGTGTAGTACTCTTCCTTTGGGAAGCTGAAATATATCAGAAAAAACTTAGATTACGAGACACCAGATTGATATAGGAGATTAGGAGTAAACTCCTATAGTACAATGTGTGCAATATCTTACCAGGTAGTGGCACTTTAAAATCCAATGGCCAACACAACCAGATTGATAGGAAGGTTAACTGCTGTTGATGAAGAAAAGCTGCAATATTGAATATATTATATATTCCTACATTAGCTATAAATCTTTACTTTTCACTATATAATTTTTTAAACTGTCATTTCAACTATGTTCATATTACAAATGAATAAAATTAATATGTATACATGTATGACAAGAACTGCAAACAAAGGAACAGATAAACAAATATCAATTAACACCAGTAATAATTTCTTTTTTATGAGAACCACTTGGTGGTCTTGAGGTAGGGTGCTCACCTGGAGTGTTAAATGCTGTTGATTGGATCAACTCTGGGTCAAACCAAAAACTTGAAAATTGGTATTTACTGCTTGTCTGCTGTAGACATGGCATTTATGAGTAAGAGCAAAGACTGGGGGAAATTCAATACAAAATAATAAACAAAAAGAATAAACAGCCAAGCAAGTTATCATAATAAAAGAATAGAGTTCCAATGTCCCCCACATTACCCATATTTTATCTGTCCAAGAACAAAAACTAAATAAATGGGGAATGTGTCCATGGGACACAGATGATGCCCCCGCTTGTATATAACGTTACAAAGGGACATAACTCAAGAACTGTAAAACTGACGCTACCCAAATTTGTACTTGATCTGAGTTTTGTGGTAATAAGCATTGTTTATAGGTTTCATTACATTTAGTTGAGGAAACTTAAGTTAGAGAATGGAAATGAAAATTTCAGCAATTTTTCCATTTGTAAAGGGGCATAACTCTAGAAAGGTAAAAGTGACACCACCAAAATCCAAATATGATCTGTGTTTTGTGGTAATTGGCATTGTGCATAAGTTTCATAACATTGGATTGAGGCAAACTAATGTTAGAGAACAGAAACGAATATTTCAGCAATTTTTCCATTTGTAAAGGGGCATAACTCTAGAACGGTAAAAGTGACGCCACCAAAATTCAAATTTGATCTGTGTTTTGTGGTAATAAGCATTGTGTATAAGTTTCATAACATTTGATTGAGGTAAACTAAAGTTAGAGAACGGAAAGAAAAATTCAGCAATTTTTCCATTTGTAAAGGAGCATAACTTTAAAACGGTAAAAGTGACGCCACCAAAATTCAAACTTGATCTGTGTTTTGTGGTAATAAGTATTGTGTAAAAGTTTCATAACATTTGGTTGAGGCAAACTAAAGTTAGAGAACGGAAACCAATTTTGTGACGTACGGACGTACGGACGGACGTACAGACGGACAAGGGTAAAACTTAATGCCCCCTCCGCTATGGCGGGGGCATAAAAATACTTTTTTTGTTGTTCTTTAAAACCTTTTACAAATATCTGAAAGAAATGAAAACTTGATTGTGCTTACAATGCAATTTTCCATAGTATTAATATTTCCAAGGGGCATAACAATTTTATAAACAGTTGATTGACAGAGATTTTCAAAATTGTTCAAGACATTGCTAATAGGAAGCTCTGATAACAGTTTCATAAAAATCTGGAAATGTACACATGAGAGCACTTACAATGAAATTTAGAAATAAGTAATAAATCCAAGGGGCATAACTCTTTTAAAAATTTTGATTGGCACTTATTTTCAAACTTGTCGAAGACATTGCTGATATTAACCTTTGATATAAATTTGATAAAAATCCAGCAAAAATTACCAAGTAGTCTTGAAAATATGCAGATCTATATGAATAGTAATCTTTAACAAAATGATACCTTCTTAGATGTCTTGTAATTTGCATTCCCATGACATCTTCATTGTTTCCAAAATACCCACACTTGGCATATTCGTACCAGCGATCACTGTTTAAACTTGCAAACACAGTATTAAGGAATGAAGATTTACCACATCCAGGTGGTCCAATGATAGCCACGTTCAACGGCTTTCTGACACTTTCTGTTAAACATTTACAGTCACGAAGAAGTTCCTGTTTCCTGCCATAGCAAGGGTCCTCCTTCTCATCTTTTATTTCATAATTCACTTCATAGTTAATGTCTTCAAAAAGATCGTCTTCATAATCAGGTTCCCATTTATCTCCATTGTCTAAAAATAAATTTCAATTTACTGTAATTCAGAAATTATTGCGTTCATTTATGAGTGTTTTTAAAGAATAGACAGAAAAAAGTGAGGTTAATTATTGCGAATTCATGAAAATCTGCATACAGATATATATTATATATATGTATCTGATATACATCAGAATGTGAGTTCTAATTATTGCAATACTCACCCAGTCCCACTATTCCCATTAATAAAACCCTCTTAATAATTTCTGAATTTATAGAATGTCATGATCTTTTTTTTTTCTTTTTTCATTCTCTCCATGTTCAATGGACATTGTCATTCTTCTTTTATTTAACATATCTAAGGACATGTCATTTGATGTTTAATTTCTTTTGTCAAAGAATCCCTATTCAGTGAATCCATACCATTTACAATATATATGATCTTCATGATTTTAGCAGTTATTTAAAGCAAAAACACAAGATTAGCCATAAAATGGTTATGTGGTGGAGAGTTGTCTCACTGGCAATCCTACCACATCTTATTTTTATATGTGGTGACCCTTTACAGTTTTACAAATTTAAAATAAAAAACAAACTGTTTAATTATGCATGCTAAGCACCTGCCCTCACCTCTAACCTTATCTACCACAATAAGTGCATATAACTTATTTCATTCTAAATAAATTTTTCACATTTTGTTATGCTGGGCTTTTTATAGCTTACTTATCACATCACATCTCCTTATTTTCATAAATATAGTAAATTTTTGAATTCATAATGTATTTTCTCACTAGATGAGAGGCCTCAGTGGCTGAGTGGTTTATATAGTTCATCTACAGGGATCTGTTACCTTGCCAGTCAAAACTAAAGTTATGACTTCAAACCCCACTTGTGGCAGGGGTGTTTGATTCATATCTTAATTGACAAGGAATGCCAGTTTTATCTGCAGAAGGTTGGTGGTTCTCTCTGGATTCTCCTCTTCCTCTACCAATAAAAACTGGCCACCTAGATATAGCCAAGTGTGCTGAGAATGGAGTTAAACACCAACAATCAATTTATCAATCTCAATATATGTAAGTAAAACATCTGTGTACATTATATTTGTTATAATAGAGTACCTGGTTTGTCTATTGGATCCCCTTTTGAGTTTGGTTTATGTAAATCCTCCCCATCCATGTCTGAGAACTCATTATACTCATACTCCTTTTTAGATGCCCTTACTGTTGTAGCAGTCTTTCTTTTGGGACGACCCATTTTTCATATACTACAAAAAAATAATATACAACTGACAAATAATAAGATATATACATGTAATAGGTGTATGATGAAATCCTAACATGCAAAATTCAAATCACATTTATGTATACAATTCTGCAGGATTAAGAACATGTCTAAAAATCCATTCTGAAAAGCAAAAAAACATAATCCAAACAACCAAGTGTGACTGAAAGGGAAAGATAAGATTACCAGACATAGATTAAATACTTTAAGAAAACATAACCAAAAAAAATGAATCAGAGATTCAAATGGATGAGTTGCACAGTATGTATCTTAAACAATGGAGAATGGTAAAAATGGTATATCATGTCTACACTGAACATTGAAATATATATATATATATACATGTATGTGGAAAACTATTGATAACAAAAATTATCTGCTAGTAACCACCCTACTATAAGTGAGTTTTGGACTTTATCCAACCCAGCAAAAAAGCTGGAAAATTATATACTGAACAGCAATACTGAGATTAAGATGACAAATGTAAGTTTTGAGTAACATTTATGAAATAATAACTGCATGATTCCAGATATTTTTACTATTTTTATGTTAACCTCCATATATATGGGTCATTTTCAAATCCGTCAATATTTTAGTATGGCTGACCAGTGAGGAAAAAAACGCTTTATCATTATTTGAATGTTGGTGTCCTGCATAGTGCAACACAATTTCTACTACTTGCAGAAGAAAAATAAGGAATAGGTACATGGACTTTCTAGGAAATCATGCTCAAAGCTCTAAAATTACCCCAAACTATGTGTCCCCACTTTAAAAATACACAAAATATCATATCAAAATGGACATCTTTATAATTACACAAATCTTACAATTTTCTGTTTTAAGATAGAAAATACAATGTAGAATGATATTATAAAGGCTTTAAACATGTTAAATAGTAGCTGGCTATGGTTTCAGATTTATTTTAATTTCTTATAGTGTCCTTGATATTTTGTCAACTACATAATAAAAACGATTTTGCTTGCTATAATATAACTTCTGACACCCCTTTTTAACTAGAAAAGTGCCTCAGCACTAACTCTACATATCATTATAATGATGGAAGCATAAAAAGATAACTCTGTAAATGGTATCAACAATTAATGGCATTTAAGTACAACACATGAAGGAGGTAGAGGAAGCCCTGTAGTTTTTAACTTGTCCACTTGGTAACAGGATTTTTTATCAAAATAACAATGGAACATCACATCCACATCTATATCATTATAATCAATTTTCTGTGTTTTATAGAAAAAGCATAGTGTATGTGATGACCAAGTATCAGTGGTATTAAAAAATGCCCCAAAGTGTGAATACGTCCACTACATAACAATTGACCTAATTTTGTTATGTAGTGGATATTTTTGTTGTGTAGTTGACAATATCGCTATGTAGGTGACAAAAAGCAATAGTTAAAATCGGTATCGGGTCCGTTCGCCCTTATTACATGTTCGCCCTGGGTCCGTTCGCCCACAGAGTCCGTTCTTCCTGGGTGACCGTTCGCCCTAATTTTTATAAAAAAAATAATATTAATGGTTTAATTTAAAGTTTTGTAATCTTATTCAGATATTTAAATGGTAATATATTTCTGAGATGGAAAAGCCTTAGTATTCTGAAAATTCAAAGTTTTGTAATTTAGTATGCTGATTAGATATGATTACGATGTCTTTGATCTCACTGATTGTTGTAGTTATTGTTTTTGATGGATTAATAATGAAATTGTTTTTTTAAATAAACAAGTCAGCTTGAAATGAGTTAAAACAATGATGTAAGAATTGTAAGACATTAAAGGGAAATTGTTTCGCCGCTTGGCTTCTTTGATCTCAAGGTGTTGAGTTAGTTGGATCTTGTTATACCTGTTTGGATTGTTTTCAAAATTGTTACAAGGTTTCAAAAAAGATAAATTCATACAGATAACTTGGTCTCCTGAGTTCCTGAACACTTCTTCTTCTTCTTCAAAACACTGTCCACATTCAACATGATGAATATTCTGGCAAGAATATTCAATGCAAATCAAAAGAAAAATAATTATCTGCAGGTGGCATCAATACAACATAAATATTTCAGCGGAATTTTCAACAAACTTTAACATAATTAATTCAAATAATTTATATCATACAAGACATTACAATTAGAATAGAAATCAGGGCGAACGGACTTAGTGCAAATAGGAATTAGGGCGAACGGATCCAGGGCGAACAGGTATTAGGGCAACAGGTACTAGGGCGAACGGACCCGGATTCGTTAAAATCGGTCCTTGAACACTGTAATAACCGAAGTAATTAGAAAAAAAGTAAATTTATCTTATAATATTTAAGCAAAAGGTCATCATGTATTAGTATCAAACATAAAGATATCAACCTAATTGCTATCAGTATGTAGTTGACAAATTCCATAATTTCTGTAATCTCATTTTGCTTTCAAAATGATCTTCCCAGTTTCATTAAGACTGCATATTTTAGATTTTGTTCATATAAATAATTCAGAGTTCATTATATTAATTAAAACTGAATTAAATTGATAAAAATATTTTCTCAATGGATCTCCTGTAGTTCACAGGTGATCGCAATACTGGTATACCAGTATTGTCCACAATACTGGAAAATTTTGTACCAGTATTGTAACTTTTTTTTTAAAAACAACAATACTGGTACATTACTGATATACCAGTATAGTAGTTGTATTGTTCACTATACTTTAAGGTATATAATGAAAAATGAATTTTAAGCAAAATTAGATATTGAAGATCAAAGGGAGATTAAAAGAACTCAAAAAGATTATAGAGGATAATTGTGAAATCAATTAACAACCAGTTAAAAATAATTACTATACTTGTACAAATAAACAAAAATTATTGTTATTAACTCATCTTATTCAAACAATTGTTGATTATATAAATAATTGCTAATAATTTTATCATATTTCTATATTTTATTTAATTCAATTTAGATAAAAAAATAAAAGCTTTATTATCTGAGTTACTATTTAATAAATTCAAGCAAATTATTACACTATAACACTGTAAATTCAGCATTTACATGTATGCCAGCGTATATTTTTTACAGATATTTTAATACATGTATACTAAGATTCTAAGCATTTGTTTGTCTTTGTTTTCTTATCAATCTTTCACAATAAACATGATAAAAGATACCAATATCCATTAAACATAAAAAGTTGCTTAATAGGGGAACCAGATTATAATCAAATTAACTAGTTTGTCTACATGAATGTTAAGGGTAGTTAAAGCAGTTGATTCAGAACCATGGGCAATACAATTTGTAGCAGATATATCTACTGGTACAAATACTCAAATACTAATACTAGACAAGCACTCCTACAGTAAGAGAGCCGTACAGGTGCTATCTAAACAAGCTTGTAATCTAGTAAGCGTAAGAGAAAGTCGCCAGACTGAATACATAAATATAAATATAGGAAATGGGGGTTGCAGAAATGCCACCTGAAGAAGAAATAAACAATACCAATGTTGATGATACAGAAGCTTTAACAGCATTAATGTCAATGTAAAATTCACTAAAATATACTATTGAGACTTGTAAAGAGAGAGCTGGAAGAAAACATAGAAGAAAGTAAAGAGTTTGTTAAAATGCTGAGACAGTATGGTTCCCTTAAGAAAAAGACATCAGAAGATTTAAAACTTTCTTTGATTACAATCACAGTGTACCATCAATGGCATCATCTGAGTTAAACATACAATCATTCCATATAAAATTGTCATGTCATATGTTAATATCATTATACATATATATGCGACACCTTTAATAAGAGATTAATTACCTATATGTATTGTTTATTTAAAAAAAAACACAATACTGGTACAATACTGGAATACAATACTGGTACAAAATTTTATACCAGTATTGCGATCACCAACTACAGGAGATCCTTCTCAATTTCTATCTAAATATGGACAGATTTTGAAAACGACCAATATGTCATATATATATATATATGTTCATAATGTTGCTTGGTTATTTGTGTGGTTAGATTACTGTCTAATGGACATATATATAACTCCATATCTACCATAATTTAAATAAGGAAATAAATAAATAATCTATAGGATTTTTCAGTTTACGGACATGGATAGCATACTGCTAGTATAAATACAAATAATGGCGCCAACATAATACATTCATGCAACTAGACAGGAAATACGAAAAAACAAATTAAATGACAATGAATTAAAGATCATCAAAAGATATATCCGCTAATCGAGTCTCTGTGCTTGTAATTTATGTACACAAATACCCTTACAAATAATTAATTAATACTTGTCAGCATCTAGTTCTCAATTAACTTGTGGTAAACATGGACACGTCATGAAGTAAATATTCTACTTTCACTTTTAAAATTCTTTAAAACATCTCCAGTTCAGTTTCGTGTATTTTCCTCCATTAAAAGTGGAGCACTACCCTTGGAGTATCGCGTTGATACGGAAGCCCATTTAATAGGACGTCACAAAATATAATTTGAATTCGATATCACGACTTGTAGAATTCGTTATAACAGTTTTTATAATTCGTAATAACGGATTAAATTCGTTATCACAATTTTTTGTAATTCGTGATAACGGATTTAAAACGTGATAACGAATAATTCGTAATCACGGATAAAATTCGTTCTCACGAATGATAATTTGTTTTCACCATAATAAATTATATAATTCTTGATAACAGATTAAATTCGTGATAACTATTTCTGCGAATTCGTGGTAACGAATTTAATTCGAGGTAACTATTTCTGCGAATTCCTGATAACGAATTAAATTCCTTATCACGAACAGAGACATATAATACATTATATTGTATGTCTCTGTCACGAATTACAAGAAAATGTGATAACTATATCTCTGAATTTGTGATAACGAATTCAATCCGTTATAACGATTTCTACAATTCTTTATACGGATTTATGCAATTCGTTGGATAAGGGGGGGTCCAACTATATGTCCCCATTCAAATGCATTGATCGTCAAAATAAAAGGGGGGTTCCAACCCTTGGAACCCGACCCCCCCCCCCCCCCCCCCTGGATCCGCCACTGATACAAATAAAAAGTACTATTTTTTTAAAAGATATCTGACGCATTCAGATGTGAGCATTTAGTTTAAAACAAACCATGAATTAATTTGACGGCTAAAGCCTGACTATTCTGAAAGTTGAGTACATGCGCTTTTCTCCAAAGAATATTAAAATGAATACTGGTACTGAAATAATGGTATATATAGGCATTTTTTCAAAGGTATAGAAGTACGTACCTAGCTGTGAAATAGACATAACCATAACGGATATTATTAGGTAACAATCTGTAATGCGTAGCTTACATGAAACAGTTTAGAACCACAAAGAAATGTCAATTAGAACTATAGAGTAGAATAGAATATACTGTATCTCAAATGAAAGGGCCCACAAGGGATTATAACATTACACAAACAAATACAAAAGAGCAATACTGAGGGAAAGAATTGATTGATTGGTAGCATTTAATGACACTTACAAAAAAAAAGAAAGAAATACATATTATTTAACTATCATGTCTTGTATATGTTGTTAAAGTCAATAGGAAGGTCAATAGCATTTACATGTACACAAATTAATACATATACGTATCTTAGATAAGATTAAGATAGAGTTTAAGTCAAATGATCATAAAAAAATTTTCTCACAAAATATAAAATATTCTTGTTTTCGCTATTTGATATAAAAACTTTTCCTTCTCATTTAAGTGGCTAAAATTTTTCACTTTACTAGATATAAAGGTAAAAATTTCTTTTCTCTCAATGTGGTATTTGTCACATTTAATTAAGAAATGTAATTCATTTTATTTTTCTACCTCATTTTTTCCACATTTACAACAAACTCTATTTTGTTCTTGATATGTTTTATATCTTCCAGTTTCTATAAATAATTTGTGCGATGATATTCTTAAACTGCAAAATGCTTTTCTTAAATGGAAGTTTTTTACCACACTAAGATACACAAAATGTAATTACTGAACTAAAATTTCTGTTTATAAATAAGTATAAGTACATCTAGTTTTCCAGCCTTGAGTGTTTCACTATTGTTTTTCCAATCACTTATGTATTTTATGTGTAAAAAAGCTTGGTTTAAAATGAAACCGAATTTTCTTTTACTAGAAGACAGAACGTCTTCTTTAATATCTAAAATTTTAAATAATTTAGTTATTGGGGAGTACCAGGTTGTTTTACCTTGAGCATGCAAATCTTTAGAGTTTGCAAAAGCATCATATAATAATGGAAATTCTGACAAATTCTGTAAACGGTAACAATATTTCAACTTAGATTTAACAATGTTATATTAATAATTGTATTGGAAACCTTCAAAGCTCTGATAGTGATGCAAATTTAACACTTTTTCTATGCACATCTAATCCAAATTTGCAAAACTTGACATGTAATTGTTCACATGGTAAATTTTTATAACATAAGTCCAGGCTAGCGTTTCGTACGATTTACGTTTACGATTAAACTTACTTTAAGCGTAAGATTTTAGCTACGAGTATTTCACAAAGGTGATCGTAAACGTAACGTCACAGGAATCGGAAATTCTATCAATAAAATTCTGTAAATAATAAAGTCGACTATCAATAGAGCTTCTCGTAAATTCTGTAAATAATAAAGTCGATTATCAATAGAGCTTCTCGTAGTAGAGAAGCTCTATTGATAGTCGACTTTATTATTTACAGAATTTTATTGATAGAATTTACGAGAAGCTCTATTGATAGTCGACTTTATTATTTACAGAATTTTATTGATAGAATTTCCGATTCCTGTGGTAACGTAAACTTATTACGATTGCAAAGAAAAAAGGGTGCTTTCTTTGACAACCGCGTTAATGTCTAAAAAAAAGAATCTTTCTTTCAAAACCAGAACAAAATTTATATCACAGATTTTTTTCAGCTCAGCTTTCAAAATCATATTTTTGAAATGGCAATCAGTTTCTTTTGTTTGTATGGTAAATAGGCTTTGTGAGGTAAGTGTCCCGTCTAGTTTTAAGACATTTTTTTTGCTTTGGTTTTATAAGAAAACTTGGCTGTAGGTGGGGTTTTTTTGCAAGCTTGGTCTGTTTTTGATATTGTTGAAGAATGGTGAAATCATTAAAAAACCAGACAAACTCATTAGGACTTCGGCATTTCTTGAATCCAAATTGAATTTTTACATTGTTTACATGAAATTATACGTATCTTCAAATGTTAATTATCAAATGGTATAATATTCTTTAAGGATCGAGATAGTTTCTGATGCGTGTCTAGGCTTTTTTTCAAAGAGGAACCCACCGGCAAGACAACGTTAGGACTTGGACATGTAAAAAGTAAATGCATAAACATATGTGTAGCTCTATAAGGGGGCGCCCCATCCCCAGCCCACACCCCAACTCAAATCCGCCTCTGAGTTTTAATACTGATTTAATCAGACGTTTACTTCAAAGGGACATGACATGGAGACTTACTATAGAACAACTGATATTTTGTTATAAACGCCTAAAACTACATTCCAATCTCCCGTTAAAAACCCATATAAAAATAAGGAGATGTGGTATGATTGCAAATGAGACAACTATCCACCAAAGTTCAAATGAAGTGGATGTAAGCAATCATAGGCAACCGTACGACCTTCAACAATGAGAAAAACTCATACCGTATAGTCGGATATAAAAGGCCCTGACTTGAAAAATATGAAACAATTTAACGGCCTAATTTATAACAAAACAATTTACGAGAAACAAATATCCCGGTATGACAGTCATGAACCGTCAACGACAACCACAGAATTACAGGCTCCTGACTTGGGACAGGCAAGTATAGAATGTGGCAGTGTTAAACTGATCTGCTGGCGCCAAACCCTCCCCCTAACCTTAGAAAGTGGTGTAAAAGTACAACATAAGAACAAACAATTAAAATCAGTTGAAAAGGGTTTAACTCATCAGATCGATACAAAGCAGAAAACTTCTTACGAAAACACAGACTGGACTTGTCAGCGTATCTATCATTCAACAACAAAAAATACACTAAGTAAAGATCTGAGAGTACTTGCAGTTACTGCCAGCTACTTCAAAGCCAATAACAACAAATACAAAAGTCATGTAATTAAGACTAAAATATCAATCAGTACATATCCAACATACAATGGATTAAATGTGAAGACGTCATTAACCGTCAGAGAAAAACATGACCTTGTGCATTGCCAAAATAAAGGTATCGACATATTGTAGTACCGTTAATGTGCATATGTTCATTTCATATTTTATAAATGCTATGCATTTGCTGTGGCATCCGAAAATATAATGGTCATCAGGAGATTTAAAAGATTTTTAAAAGCATAAATTATTATTATTTTTTTTTATCTGGGGGTTGTCGTTTCTTCAAATTTCTAATTCATGTAAATGACGAAAATCAAATCGATTTTTTTTATTTGTGTATTTAGAAAGGGCGAATCTAAAATCCCGCTGATGCACATTCCCAGACTCCCTTTGTCTAAATTTCGTTAGGAGTGCGCTATGGCCGTGAATTCAATGTAACTATAATAATGAGATAGCAAAAATATAAGAGGGTTTGGGTTCCTTCTAATCTGTATTCTTTAATTTTTTAATCATTTTCTCTATTCTATATAAATTTTGCACATTATTCTCTATTCTGCACATTATTCTCTATTCTGCACATTATTCTCTATCCTTATTATTTTGGCCTATGTTTCTCTATTCTTAATTTTTCCCCCATTTTCTGTAATGTTAGCCCTTTATTCTCTATTCTGTAAACTCCATTCAGTCCCTCATATAACTTTTTCTTAATTACAGGACCAGTCAGCAATTTGTGCCAAAACATTAAAGTTAAATAAATAAATCGATGCATTAACAAGAATCGATGCCAGAATATGTGCCCATAGGACACCAATCCCCGCTCCCACTATTACGTATCCATGTTAATTTTGCATATTTGTTAAAGTTTTCTGCATAATGATAATGTGCACCAAGTTTCATATTGATGTGATCTCAAAGTAACTTAAACCAAAAAGTTAACCTCATACACGCTTTACTGTGACTTGACTGTTAGTGTTGCTCTCCACCCATTGCAACTTATTCAAAATTCTGACCAAATTGCAATTTGTTTTATAAAACCAAACTGTTCAACTGGTCAGAAATTTGAACCAACTGCTGTAGAAAACCACAGTCAAGCCGTGAAAGTGCAAGATGATAAAATAAAGCATACTTTTCGAAAGAAAAATTGATATCTCCCATGGAAACTTACAAAAAGCGTATTGTAATTTCACACATATTTTACTGAATATAAAATGTTTTAATTCAAATGATGTCTGGTTCTTATGAATATAGAAGATTTTTCAAAAGAAAAATTGTATGAAAGCTTAGTTTGGACATTTTTATAGCAATTCAA